AAAGATGTGGAATAGTAGGATGTTCATACAGTGCTATTGGAAATAGTTGTATTTAGGATATTTAGCAATATCTAGTAAAGTTGAAAATGTGCATACTCTCTGACCCAGCAGTTCCATACTTAAACCTCTTATAGTCTCTCCTCATGTGTTTAGGGTGATGTACATGAAAGTCTCTTTCAGCATTATTTGAGAATGAAAAGTTCAAAGCAATCAAAATAACCATTAGGGTGAATGTAAGTTATAGCCCAAGTCAAAAGGAATGAAGTAGAGATACTTCTATCAACATGGATAAATCTTAAAAAAAACAAACCAAAAAATGATAAATGTTAAAATAATATTAATGAAATGGAACTAGAGAGTATTTTGTATGAGATGGTACCACTTATATAAAGTTTGAAAATATGCAAATTGATGCTATGTGTATATGGCTAAATACCATATAGATTTAGTGTTACAACATTCATGGAAATAATAAATCCAAAACAGTAGTGACATATGGAGGAGGAAAAAATGAGATTGAGAAAAAGGATGCAAAGGGAGCTATCTTTTAATCATTTACTTCTTTAAAAAATAAGCAAGTGTGGCCAATTCCTATAAATTGATAAAACTGGTTGTTGGTTTATAGATAGGTTCTTATTCTCTGTATCTTTCATAATAAAAAAAAATAAAGAATATTAAATACTTTTTTTGTCAAGTTATTTCCTTGCTATACCTCAGTCATGACACTGGTGTTCCCATCTATATTCACCATTCTCTTCAGAGAGAAGCTGACACATAATTGATCATACAGTCTCTTCATTCTTTTAATGTAGCACATTATATTGATTTTTTTAAAGTAGGTTCCACACCCAGCATGGAGCCCAATGCCGTGCTTGAACTCACAACTGTGAGATCAAGACATGAGCTGAGATCAAGAGTTAGATGCTTAACCAATTGAGTCACCCAGGCACCTAACATTACATTGATTTTTATAGCTTGTACCACCCTCACAGGACTGGGATAAATTCCATTTGGTCATAGTGTATAATTCTTTTAATAGGTTGTTGAATTCACTAGCATATTATTATTGCTAGTATTGTGTTGAGGACCTTTGCATCTATATTCATCTATATTCACAAGGGATACTGGCCTGTAGTTTTTTAATGACAAGGTAATGTTGACCTCACAGAATGAGTTTGGAAGTGATCCCTCTAATTCAAGTTTTGGGAAGAGTTTGAGGAGTATTGGTGTTAATTCTTTAAATGTTTAGAAGAATTCACCAGTGAAACCATCTGGACCTGGGCTTTTCTTTGTTAGGAGGCTTTTGCTTAATGATTTAATTTCTTTCTTTCTTTCTCTCTCTCTTTTTTTTTTTTTTTTTGGTATAGGTCTGTTTGGATTTTCTGTTTTTTCATAGGTCATTTTTGTAGTTTGTGTATTTCTAGGGGTCTATTTCTAGTTTTCCCATTTCATCAAGATTATCAGAGTGCTTAGCCTACATTTGTCTATAGTATTCTTATAATCCTTTTTATTTTTGAAAAATTGGTAAAGTCCCTACTTTCACTTCTGATTTTAGTAATTTGAGTCTTCTCTCTCTTGTCTGTTTTTTTTTGTTGTTGTTTTTGTTTTTTAGATTTTATTTATTTGACAGAGAGATCACAGGCAGAGAGGCAGGCAGAGAGAGGAGGAAGCAGGCTCCCTGCTGAGCAGAGAGCCCGATGCGGGGCTCGATCCCAGGACTCTGAGATCATGACCTGAGCCGAAGGCAGCGGCTTAACCCACTGAGCCACCCAGGCGCCCTCTTGTCTGTTTTAATAGTCAATCTAGCCAAAAGTTTTTCAATTTTGCTGTTATTTTCAAGGAACCAACTCCTGGGTTTGCTGATCTTTATATTGTTTTGGTTATCTGTGCTCTAATCTTTACTATTTCCATTCTTCTGACAGCTTTGGGTTTAAATTGTTCTTCTTTCTAATTCCATATTATGTAAAGTTACTAATTTGAGATTCTTTTTTAAATGGAAATGTTTACAGCTGTAAATTTCTCTTAGCTCTGATTTGGATGCATTCTGTTAAGTGTTTGTAATGTTATGTTTTTCAGTTTGTCTCAAGATCTGTGATTTCCCCTGTGAAGTATTCTTTGATGCACTGGTTAAAAGTCTTTAATTTTCTCATATTTGTGGATTTTCTACTTCTCCTACTATTGATTTCTAGTTTCATTCCACTGGGCCCACTACATCCTCTAAGTTTTGTTATGTGTGTTTTCATTTTCATTTATCCCAAATTGTAATTTCATTTTTGGATTTCTTATTTAATCTAGTGATTTATTAAGAGTGTGTTGTTTCAAAAAAAGAGAGAGAAAGAGAGAGACTCCTAAATACAGAGAACGCACTGGTATTTGCTTAGAGGGAAGGATGGTATGGATGTAGGGGTGGGTTAAATAGATAAAGGGAATTAAAAGGTACAAATTTTCAGTTATAAAATAAGTCACAGAGATGAAAAGTACAAAATAAGGAATACAGCCAATACTATTGTAGTAATGTTGTATGGTTACTACATTACTGTGATGGGCATTGAGTAGGATATTCAATTATTGAATCCATATGTTTGTACATCTGAAACTAACAGAACTAACTGCATATTAATTATACTTCAAAAAAGTGTGTTGCTTAATTTCCACATAGGTTTCATTCCAGTGTAATTGGTAAAGATATGTGGTATATTTTCAGTCTCTTAAAATGCATTAAGATTTGTTTTGTGGCTAATTACATGTTCTATTCTGAAGGTTGTTCAGCATGCACTTAAGACAAAAATCAGTGTTTTGCTATTAATAGGTTGAGGATTTTGTTTTGTCTGTTGACTTAAATAAAGTGTTGTTCAAGTCTTCTGTTTCCTTACTGATCTTCTATTTCATTGTTTTATTATTTTGTTTTGTTTTCAAATTTTTATTTAAATTTCAAGTCAGTTAACATAAGGTGTAATATTAGTTTCAGGTGTAGAATTTAGTGACTCATTGTTTTATTTATTATTGGAAGTAGAATAGTCAAGGCTCAAGGTACTATTGTATAACTGTTTGTATATTCAATAATGTCATTTTTTTTTGCTTTATATATTCTGCAGGTCTGTTGTTAGATACATATTATAGAGTGAATATTTGTGTGTCTCCCAAATTTACATGTTGAAACCCTAAGCCCTACTGTAATGGAGATGGGGTCTTTGGAAGATAATTAGGATAAGATGAAGTCACAAGGGACAAACCTTCATGATAGGATTAGTGCTCTTATAAGAAAAGATATCAGAGAACTTATTCACTCTTTCTCTGCACCTGGACAAAGAAATGGTCATGTGAGCACACAGCAAGATAGTGGCCATCTACAATCCAATAAAAGAGCTTTCACTAAAAAAAAAAAAAAAAAAAGTTCTCACCAGAAACTGACATATTGAGACACTGACCTCCAAATTCCAGCCTCTAGCATCGTAAAAAAATTTCTGTTGCTTAAGACACCCAGTCTATGGTATTATTTTATAGAAGCCCAAGCTAAGACAGTGCATATGATTATAATTGTTATATTTTCTTGAAGTTTTAATCAATATCTCTGCCTGACCTCAGAGATTATGTAACAGAAACATCAGTGATGACACACAACATGGAATACAAACTTCGCAAAAATAGTTTGGAGAAGTCACTAATAAATGGATGGCTGTAGTCCTCAACCAACAAAAATCAGCAATCCCCAAGGAGGGAAATAATCTGATTTCCAAACTTACATTATACTACTCAAAATGTCTACATCTCAGCAACAAATTGAAAAGCATTAAAAAATAGGAAAGTATGTCCCATTCACATATCAAGAAGAATCTGACAGAAACTATCACTGAGGAAATGCAGATATTGAAATCACTAGTCAAATATATTAAACCAGCTATCCAAAATATGCTAAATGAGCTAAGTAAAACACTGGACAAAAAACTAAAGTAAATCAAGAATATAATAAATGAGGGGCGCCTGGGTGGCTCAGTGGTTTAAGCCTCTGCCTTCAGCTCAGATCATGATCCCAGGGTCCTGGGATCAAGCCCCACATCAGGCTCTCCGCTCAGCAGGGAGCCTGCTTCCCTTCCTCTCTCTCTGCCTACTTGTGATCTCTGTCTGTCAAATAAATAAATAAAATCTTTAAAAAAAAGAATAAATGAACAAAAATGTTAATTGGAAGATAGAAACTATCTTTAATGTTAATGTTAATTGGAAGATAGAAACTATAAAAAGGTACCAAAAAGAGATTCTGGAGCTGAAAAGTACAATAGCTGAAATGAAAAATTCACTAGATGAGTCCAATGGTAGACCTGAGGAGGTAGAAAACTTAGTGAACTTAAAGATAAGGCAATTGAAATTATCTAGTCTGAAGACTAGAAACAGAAAGAATGAAAAAAGAGGGCCTGAGAAAGCTATAGGACTCCATCAAGCACATCAATATATACATAATAGGAGCCCAGAAGGAGGAAGAAGGAGGGAGAAAAAATATTTGAAGAAATGACTGCCCAAATCTTCCCAAACCTAAAGACAAGAAATACACATTTTCATGACCCTCAATCAACTGCAAGCATGATAAACTCAAAGGGATCAACACTCAGAAGTGTTACAATTAAATTATTGACAAGCAAAGACAAAGGTTCTTGAAAGCAGGAGGCAATCAATTTGCTACATACAAAGGTGCTTCAATAAAGTTAACAGCTGATTACTGATCAGAAACCATGTAAGTCAGAAGAAAATCAGCTTATATATTTAACATTCCAAAAGAGAAAAAAAAAAAAAAAACCCTGACAGATGTTCTGTATCTGCGACAACCTCAAAATGAAAGAGAAATTAAGATCCTCCAGGTAAACAAAACCTGAGGGAGTTGCTACCAGGATACCTCTGTTTTAATTTTGTTAAATTAGTATTTATAAAGTAGAGCACCATAATGTTGGATGGTGAACTGGGGTTCAAAAAAAGGCCAAAAAGAAATTGAAATATAGTTTATTACTCACAGGTCCAGGAGGAAGTACACAGCATGCCTCCAGGGGCCACGCAGGTAGGTCCAGGCAGAATGCACACAGAAAGTGCAGCAGAACCTAGGGCACATGCTTTCATTAGGGTCTGTAGGTAGTGTTGTAGGGTTCTAATGCTAGGGCCAGACTGCTTAATTCAAATAAAAAAAAGTGGGGTTTATATAAGCTTCATGGGGGACTTATAGAAGGGCCACACAAGGGGAAGGCTCTGGGAAGCAGGGGTAACTGTTTATTACAAGGGCCATTTGGGGAAGTCCTATCAAGAACTTGTGAAGCTATGGGCTGTGATCCAAGTTATGTACCAATGGGAGGGATTGGTGTTAGTTTGAGGCCCTGGTTTTATTGATTTCCATTTTAGTTTCCATTTATTTCTGCTCTAATCTTTATTATTTCCTTCCGTCTACTGGTGTGGGTTCTGTTTGTTCTTTTTCTAGCTCTTTTAGGTGTAAGATTAGGTTGAGATTTTTCTTCCTTCTTGACGTAGGCCTGTATTGCTATACCCTTCCCTCTTAGAATAGCTTTTGCTGCATCTGAAAGATTTTGGGCTATTGTGTTTTCATTTTCACTTGTCTCCATGTATTTTTTTATTTCCTCTTTAATTTCTTGGTTGATCCACTCATTGTTTAGTAGCATGTTTTTTATCTTCATATATTTGTGCTCTTTCCAGATTTTTTTCTTGTGGTTAACTTCTAGTTTCACAGTGGTGTGCCCAGAAAAGATGCATGGTATGAACTCAATGTTTTTTCACTTGTTGAAACTTGTTTTATGGCTTAATATGTGATCTATTCCCTTGTGTACTTGAAAAGAATGTGTATTCTATTTTAGGATGGAATGTTCTGAATGTATCTGTAGCTCCACTTGGTCCAATAGGTCTTTCAAAGTCAGTTTCCTTTGTTGATTTTTTTTACCCTTTTTTAAAACATCTTAATTTCTTTTTCAGTGTTCCAAGATTCATTGTTTATGCACCACGCCCAGTGCTCCATGCAATACATGCCCTCCTTAATACCCACCACCAGGCTCACCCATCCCCCCACCCCTGCCTCCAAAACCCTCAGTTTCTTAGAGTCCACAGTCTCTCATGCTTCGTCTCCCCCTCTGATTTACCGCAATTCACTTTTCCTTTTCTTCTCCTAATGTCCTCCATATTATTCCTTATGCTCCACAAGTAAGTGAAACCATATGATAATTGACTTTCTCTGCTTGACTTATTTCACTCAGCATAATCTCCTCCAGTCCTGTTCATGTTGATACAAAAGTTGGGTATTCATCCTTTCTGATGGCTGTGTAATATTCCATTGTATATATATGGGCCATATCTTCTTTATCCATTTGTCTGTTGAAGGACATCTTGGCTCTTTGCACAGTTGCAATTGTGGCTATTGCTGCTATGAACATTGGGGTGCAGATGGCCCATCTTTTCACTGTATCTGTATCTTTGGGGTAAATACCCAGTAGTACAAATTGCAGGGTCATAGGGTAGCTCTATTTTTAATTTCTTTTTTTTTTTTTAAGATTTTATTTATTCATTTGACACAGAGAGATCACAAGTAGGCAGAACAGCAGGCAGAGGGAGGGGGGAAGCAGAGAGCCTGATGTGGGGCTTGATCCCATGACCCTGAGATCATGACCTGAGCCAAAGGCAGAGGCTTAACCCAGTGAGCCATCCAGGTGCCCCTATTTTTAATTTCTTAAGGAATCTCCACACTGTTTTCCAAAGTGGCTGCACCAACTTGCATTCTCACCAATGGTTCAAGAGGGTTGGATGATCTATTGATCTAAGTGCTGTGTTAAAGTCCCCTACTGTTAATACAGCAACTCATTTGTGTCCCAAAGGTTTTTTTCCTGCTTGCTGAACAAGTATAGATTAGCTCTAGCCCTGGCACCCCACCAAAATTCTCCACCATTCAGTGGAGCTGAAACCACACCTTCTATAATGAAATCTGAACCCCAGACTTAGAGATGGGGCCCATCTTCAAAATTTATCCTTCCTTGGATACTCCCCTTCAGTCTTTGGGTACTCTTCAGAGTTCTTTGTATCTTATAGTTACTCTTTTACAATAGCTTCATGTTTCTTTATACTCCATCTTGGTCCAGAACTGGAAGTAAAATATCCTTAATAGCCACATTAAATATTTATACTAACTGTAATTAATAATGAATTGGGAATTATTTCTATACTCTTATGGAAAAAATTTGGAATATTTATTTATTTGAGGGGGGTGGACAAAGGGAGAGGGAGAGAAAGAGTCTCAAGCAGACTCTACTGAGCATGGACCTCAACCAGGGCTCGATCTCTCGACTCTGAGGTCATTACCCGAGATGAAATCAAGAGTCGGATGCTTAACTAAGCCACCCAGGCGACCTGTTCTTATGGGAAGTTTTGAGCAAGTGAGAAGGAAATTATGTATCACTTCTGATAACCTTTCACTTAGTCACAGGGCCACAATTGGCAAGAGAGAATGGAAAATTTGGTACTTAAGAGGGGAGCCAAGCACCCTGGGGAAAAAACCTGAAAATTTTGGCAGTCTGCCCAAATTATGGTGTATCATTAAAAGAATATATAGGTATAACAACATGCCACCATAAAAATGAGGTAATTTCATGTAGGAGAGGACCTCTGGGACAGAATATATTTTCCAAAAAGGCCCACTCACTCAACTATATCCTACCCCATATGCTCTGCTTACAACATGACACTCTCCTATCAAAATGTAGCTGCCTAAACAGAGAATGGGCAGAAGTGAAATTATGCAACTTCCCAGGCTAGGTATGGAAGATCTTTATGGCATATTGCATTTTCCAAACAGGCCACAATATATCCTATCCTACAGGCTTTTCTTAAAATGTGACAATTCTTTCATAGAGCTTTAACTGCCTCAACCAATAGAGTATGACACAAGTGATGTTATGTGATTTCTGAGGCTAGATCATAAAAATTACATGCACTTTCACCTTGTTTTGTAGGGCATACTCTTGAAACCCAAGACACTATGCTAAGTGGCCACATAGAGATATCACATGTAGGTATTCTGGCTGACCAACCTAAGGTCCAGTTGATAGCCAGAATCAAGTGCCATGTGAGCATGTGAATCTTCAGATGATCCCAGCCTTCAGCCATCAAGCTTTCTAGTCACCCCATCTAAGGCTACGTCAATCAGAGATGAGCTGTTGTTGCCAAGCCCTGTCCAAGTTTTTACATATGTGTGAGCTAAATAAATTATTACTATCTTAAGCCAAGTCTGGAGTGGTTGTTATGTGGCAACAGCAACTGGAATGATTGCCAAAATATGGAAGCGAAAAAACAAGGCAGGTTTTTATAAAACAATTGATATATTCTTAAAAAGCAAATGAAAAAAGCAAAACTACATTCTAGCGCTCTCTAGAGAGAGCTATATATATATATACATATGTACGTATATATGTATACATATGTCACTTTCATTCTCTGCTAGTAGCCTGTATAGCTAGAAATATATAGTTTCATATATCTCCTTGGAAAAACTACATAAATTCCTGATGGATCTGTTCCAAAGTCTGGGAATTGTTTGGGGGATTTGAGTCATACACCATTGCAGGCTAGGATTGGGTTTCATTAACAGTAGTACATATCCCTCAAAAACTCAAGAGGCTTTTGGGGTGCCTGCGTGGCTCAGTGGGTTAAAGCCTCTGCCTTCGGTTCAGGTCATGATCCCAGAGTCCTGGGATCAAGCCCCACATCAGGTTCTCTGCTCAGCAGAGAGCTTGCTTCCCCCATTCTCTCTCTGCCTGCCTCTCTGCCACTTGTGATCTCTGTCAAATAAATAAAGTCTTTTAAAAAAAGAAACTTATTAGGCTTCCAAGTATTTGCTAATTTGTTTAACTACCATGTCAAAGATCTCGTGTGAATACAGTTTTAAGCTTGATTTCTTTTGCTTACTGGCCCCTTGTGCTTTCATTTTTCTATCCCTTTAACATTGCCAGGCAATCATATTTCACATTAAATATCTCACTTTGGTGACTTTCATATCTCTTTTCTTTTGGACCCCAAACTTCTCACCCCCCCCCCGATATTTTCAGCTAACCTTGTTTAACACTCATGAAATCACTGAAGGCATTAGAAGAACATTTTCCAAAACTTCTCCCATCTCATCTACTTCCCAGCACCCCATATTTGGCCATACTATTGTCAGGAATAAACTTTCCAGGGTATTACCCAAAATGATCCCTCCATCTGTTAAATCTTATCCCCTCACTGGCATAAAGCCATTGCTCCAGTAATTCTCACTTCTTTGTTATGAATTATTCCCCCCATCCAATTATTCCAAACAGCATACAGAATTGCTATTACTTCTCCCATCCTGGAGACATTCTAATTCCTGTTGCTACTTTTTTTTTTTTTTTGGCTTATATTTGCTGCAAACACCTCCAAGCAGTTGTGTCTATATTCATTGTCCCCAATTTCTTAATTCAACCACTCCAAAACAAACAAAAATACCCCTACTCTTCTCAAGATCAACAATAATATGGATAAGTTCAAGTCAAGTCTCATCTAGTATTATGTCTGCTAATGGTATCTACAACCATTGATCGTCTTCCTTTGACTCACTTTCATGTAGCTTCTGTAATGCCACACTATTCTGTTTTTCCTTCTATCCCATCCGTCCTTCTTAACATCCTTTGCTAGTCTGTCCTTTTATCCTTGAATTCTTAATGTTAGAAGGCACTGTGGATCAGTCTTTTCTCTATCTATACCCAAGTCTTTAATGATCTTATTCTGCCTCATGGTTTTATATAAGTATAGGCAATACTTACCAAATTAATATAATCTCTAGAACAATACAAGCTAAAACATCCAAGTGCCTAATCAATATTATCATTTTGTCTAAAAAATATTTCAACTCAACATTTTCAAAACTGAACTCCCCAATATCCCCAACAAACCCGAAGGAATTGCAGCTTTCCCCATCTCAGCTAATGGGAATACCATCTTTCCAGTTGTTTGAAGCCAAAATCTGTGAGGCAAAGTCACCCCAGAAACCCCTCTCTCTCACCTGATATCTAACCCTTAAACAAATCTTGCTTGCTCACATTTACCCTATATCTAGAGTCCAACCACTTCTCACCATTGTTACCATTATGATGTAAGCTTACATCTTTCATCTGAATTAAGGGGCCACAGCCTCTTGCTCACTTCACTTTTTTTTTTTTTTAATTTAAACAACACAGTGGCAGCTTGTCAAATCACATCCTCTGCTGAAACACTCCTGTGGCTGCCTCTTCCACCAGAAAAAATTACAAAATGCTTACAGTGACTGACAAGGTCTTACAAGATGTGGCCCTTTTATCTCTCCATCCTCCTCTATTAATTACCCCCTTGCACAGACCTCTACAATAGCTTCTTTGATGTTCCTCAAGTATACTAACATCATCCCATTTTAGGGCCTTTGTTCTTAGCTTTCTCCTGTCTGCAGTACTCTTCCCTTAGATAACCACTTTCTCTTTCATGTCTTCAAATCTCGACTCAAATCATTTCTTATCTATGGTCCATTTCATAAACTTTCATATTCCTCTGAACTACTTCTGAATGACCTTTCCTCCATAACACTAATGTTCTAATATACTCTGTAATTTTTCTATAACTATTCTATCTCCACCTGCTAGAGTTGCTCATTGATATATCCCAAACACCTAAAAACAGTGGCTGGGATATAGCAATATATGAATTTACTGTCAACCAGGATTGGATGCCTGTAGGGAGAGATGACATCTCTTAACAAAGCAATATTGCTTTCAATCTCTGCTAGTGGCCTCTGCAACTAAGTCTGTACCAAATTTATCTTTCATGGGACATTACCAAAAGCAGCAAGAAACACCCAACACATTCTGAATGACTCCTACCATTTCTACTAAAATTACAGCCTTAACTGGTGAAGGATCTGCCTTGTAAGATAGACTGGAAGAGAGTCAGACCAAATGTCCTGTCTATAAAAGCAAAAATCTTTAGTTTTCTAGCCTGAAGTAGGTTAATTCTCATTCATGATGGCACAAAGTCAATGCCATATATAAGATTTTCTTTACCCATAGCACTCCACTTCTGGGTACAAAATTCACATTTTAGTGTCAATGACAGAATAACAACAACATCAACAAATAAGTTTATTTGAATTTTATATAAAGAAATACAGGAGGCAGACAGACCAGAATTGGTACAACTGTTCCAAAAAATCAGTACAGGTGTAGACTCATTCTGTATTTCTGCTCCATCATCCTTAGTACCCAGGTAATCATTTTCAAATTCTCCATAAAATCACCAGAGCTGTAAACTAAATGTCCACATTGTAGGCAGGGAAACAAAGAAATGCAGAGAGAGAAAGGTATTCTTAAATGTCCTACATGTACAAATACCACTTCCATCTTGCTGAGCTGCAAAAGAGGCTGAGATCATTTTTCAGCCAAGAATTCTAAAGGAAAAATGGATATTGGGTAGGGAAGTAGCAGTCTGTGACAGAATGTCATGTTTCACTGCAAAATAGTAATATCAGTTTATTTTTAGTTTAATTAAAAAGCTGTACATTCAAGTTTTTAGAAATTTCCTAGTAGGAAATTTTATTTTGGCTAGCCATTGTTTTTCATTTCTTAAATAATATTCTTGAATTATGGTAAAAATGATAGGACATATGAATTTTTGGACCTTGTTACAATTCACTTTACCTCTCTTCAACAATCCACTGATTAAATCTACAAATTTTTATCTCCCCCCAACCCCCAACAGTATGAATTTCCTCTTCTAGCATATGGAATAAGATGTGAATGAAAGCTTTCTCATGTTCATTACAGCATACAGTGGCCCCCACTCAAACAGTCAGGGTCAAATATTAATGAAAGATTTCTCAATATTCATTATACCCCTAAGTGTCCTCTTCTCATGCAAATTCTCTAAAATCATACTAGTAATAATGATAGCTAATACTTGTGCTATGCTTGTTCAAGGCACTGCTCTAAGAACTTTACATGAAATGTCTCACATAATACTTCCAAGAATCTTACAAGGAAGGTATTAGGCCTATCTTACAAATGATTAAGCCAAAGCAGAGGTTAATTATAAATGTCACGAAGGAAAGTAGCTGGTAGAGTCAAAATAATGTTGGAAAAGACAAATTCTACAGCCAGAGGCCTCAATATATTTACTATATTAACAGAATTATTCTCTATTATTATAAGCTAAAGTTTAATAGGTTTCCAGTAATGATAGGTTTTTCTACATAGATTACATTAACAATATCTTCCCCCATTAGAATTCACTGATGCTGAACTTTATGAGGCAAATACGCTCCCATATTCACATTTTAGGAATTCTTTGATAATAATGGATTAGTGACCAGAGAAGGCTATCTTAATCATAAAGAATCAGGTAATTCATATATAAACTTGAGAACTATGACTGAAATCTATCCCACACTCCTTATATTCAAAAGATTTCTCACTGATATGACTTCTCTGATGTTGAGTTAGTTGTGAACCACGAGTAAAGGACTTCCCACATTCCTTACATTGATAGGGTTTCTCACCAGTATGAACTCTCTGATGTCGAGAAAGATGTGAGCTCTGAGTAAATGCTTTCCTGCATTCTTTGCATTCATAGGGCTTCTCACCAGTATGAATTCTCTGATGTAAAGTAAGTTGAGAGCCATGACTAAAGGCCTTCCCACATTCCTTGCATTCGTAAGGCTTTTCTCCAGTGTGAATTCGCTGATGTTGAGTAAGTTGTGAACCACGAATAAAGGCCTTCCCACATTCCTTACACTGATACGGTTTCTCACCTGTATGAATTCTCTGATGCTGTATAAGTAGTAAGCCACGAGCAAAGGCCTTCCCACATTCATTACATACATAGGGTTTCTCACCAGTATGAAGTCTCTGATGTTGAGAAAGATGTGAACTCTGAGTAAAGGCCATTCTACACTCTTTACATTCATACGGCTTCTCACCAGTATGAATTCTCTGATGTTGGGTAAGCTGTGAGCCACGAATAAAAGATTTCCCACATTCCTTACATTCATAAGGTTTCTCACCGGTGTGAATCCTCTCATGCTGAGTAAGTTCTGAGCCACGACTAAAAGTTTTCCCACATTCTTTACATTCATAGGGTTTTTCACCAGTATGAATCCTTTGATGTCGAGTAAGGAGTGAGCCACGATTAAAAGCCTTTCCACATTCCTTACACTGATAGGGTTTCTCACCAGTATGAATTCTCTGATGTTGAGTAAGCTGTGAGCCATGACTAAAGGTCTTTCCACATTCCTTACATTCATAAGGCTTCTCATTCGTATGAATTCTCTGGTGTTGAGTAAGTTGTGAACCACGGATAAAGGCTTTCCCACATTCTTCACATTTATAGGGCTTTTCACCTGTATGAATCCTCTGATGTTGCATAAGCAAAGAGCCACGAATAAAGGCCTTTCCACATTCCTTACATTCATATGGCTTTTCCCCATTGTGAATTTTCTGATGCTGAGAAAGCTGTGAGCCACAAATAAAAGCTTTCCCACATTCCTTACATTCATAAGGTTTTTCACCGGTGTGAATTCTCTTATGTAGAATAAGTTGTGAGAGCTGAGTAAAGACCTTTCTACATTCTTTACATTCATAGAGTTTCTCACCAGTATGAAGTCTCTGGTGCAGAGTAAGTTGCGAGTTCTGAGTAAAGGCCTTCCCACATTCTTTACATTCATAAGGTTTCTCACCAGTATGGACTTTTTGATGTCGGGTAAGTTGTGAGCTACGAATAAAGGCTTTCCCACATTCTTCACATTTATAAGGTTTTTCACCAGTATGAATTCTATGATGTAAAATAAGCTGTGAGCTCTGAGTAAAGGCCTTCCCACATTCCTTGCATGCATAGGGTTTCTCACCAGTATGAAGTCTCTGATGAAGAATGAGCTGTGAATCACGACTAAACGCCTTCCCACATTGCTTACATTCATAGGGTTTTTCACCAGTATGAATGCTATGATGTTGAGTTAGGTGTGAGGCTCGTCTAAAGGCCTTCCCACATTCTTTACATTTATAGGGTTTCTCAGTAGAATGACACCTAGGATTTTGAGATAAGTAAGCATGCTGATTGAAAATGGACATTTTTTCATATATGATCATCCCTTGCCTGAAATATTCCTCCTGATTTTCTTGTTGCTTTTCCAATGTGCCTCTGACTTCCAAATAATCTCTGGAACTGGACTCCTCAAGATCACAGTTTTCAAGCCTGGCACTCATTTCCCATTGGGATAGTTCTGTTTCATAAGTATCATTTTTTGGAGATAAGTCTTTATTTGCACTCCTTGAAGGCAAGTCTGAAAGATAAGAGAACATCAAACATTTCTGTTGTCATTTCAGGAGAACCCATAGTAGAATAGACTATATGTGAAAATATCTATAGATGATAACCAATTTATGATGGTTCAACCTATAAACTTTTGCTCTTATGACAGTATAAAAGCAACATATATTCAGTAGAAACTGTACTTCAATTATGAATTTTGTTAATTTCCTGAGCTATCAATATGCAGTACAATACTCTCATGTTCCTGACCAGTCACAGTAAATTATAGCTCCCAGGCAGCCACATGATTGTGAGGTTAAACAGGTGATATACTTACAACTATTCTGCACCCACACAATTATCCTGCTTTTCAGTTTCAGTATAGTATAAAAAAATTACATGAGGTATTCAACACCTTATCATAAAGTAATCTTTAAGTTAGATACTTTTGCTGAACTATAGACTATTTTAAGTGTTATGAGCATTTTTAAAGTAGGATAGGCTAAGCTATGATGTTCGATAGGTGTATTAAACTTAAAATACTTTCAACTCACAGTGGGATTATTGGGGCAGGAGTTATAAGCTGAGGATCTGGTATAGGTAACCAATACCCAAAAGAAATAACTGGCTTACATCAGTGCTTTTCAGATATTATTTACTATGACCTATACTAATATCTACTTACCTTTCATATCACAACCTGACCCATACAGTTTCATTAAACAATATCTAGGTTTCTAGGTAGATTATGAAGTTGTAGTAATCCAAAGAGAAAGGTACTGGTACAGGCACATGTACAATAAAACAGAATAGAGACACCAGAAACAAATCTACACTTATATAATCAATTAATCTATGACAAAGAACATTAAGAATATACAATGGGGAAAAGACAGTCTCTTCATCAAATGGTGCTGGAACGACTGGACAGCTATACACAATAGAATGGACTGTCTTTTAACATCGTACATAAAAACAATCTCAAAATGGATTAAAGGGCTAAATAGGAGATCTGAATCCATAAAAATCCTAGAAGAGAACACAGGCAGTAATTTCTCTGACATTGTCCACAGCAGTATTTTTTTTTTCAGGTATGTCCCCTAAGACAAGAGAAACAAAAAGGAAAAATAAACTATTGGGATAACATCAAAATAGCTTTCGCACAGCAAAGGAAACCATTAACAAAACAAAAAGGCAACCTATTGAATGGAAGAAGATATTTGCAAATAGTATACCCAAAAGAGGTTAATATCTGATATATATATATATATATAAACTTATACAACTCTGAACCAAAAAGCAACCTGATTAAAAAATGAGCAGAAGACCCGAACAGACATTTTTTCCAATTAAGACATAAAGATGGCCAACAGACACATGAACAGATGCCCAACATCACTCATCATCAAGAAAATGCAAACCAAAACCACAATGAGCTACCATCATCTTGCACCTGTTAGGATGCTAAAAACAAAAAGACAAGAAATACAAAGTGTTGGTAAGGATGTAGAGGAAAAGGAACCTTCACGTACTGTTGATGGGTATGTAAATTGGTCAACCACTGCGGAAAACAATATGGAGGTTCCTCAAAAAAATAAAAATATAGAGTGGGTGAAGATGGCAGCAGAGTAGGACCACCCGTGGCTCACCTTGTTCTATGAATACAACTACACAACTATCAAATCATCTTAAGTACCCCAGAAATCGATCTGAAGATGTGTATTCCATATCTAAAAGCAGACAAGAGGCCACATCAAAGAAGTTAGGAAGTCTGGAGATGCAGCTTGGGAGAGAAACTGATCATGTCTCATGTCTGCTGTGGTAGGGAGGGAGTTGCAGACATGGAGAAGGGTAAGAGACAGACTAGTACACTGGGAAGCACACGGGGAAAATGAATCTCCATAGCAATTGGCTTGGAAAGTGAAAGGACCCAAAATTTTGAGAGTTCATGCAACCAGTGGGGATTAACGCCCAGAGTTTAAAAGGTCAGTGTGTGTGGTTCTGAGAGAGCTTGGAGGACACGGGGCTGCTTTTGGAGAAAAGGCAGGTCAAACAGCCCACGGACATACAGTGTGGAAATAGTGATTTGAAGAGTACCTGGGGCACACAGTGGAGAGGTCAGTTGAGAGGCAGCAATCACAGAGAGACCCCTCAAGGAACAAAGGAATTAGCAGGTGCCATTTCACTCCCCCATCCCTCAGCATAAACACAGAGCCACCTGTGGGAACCAACACAGTAACAACACTAGCTACTCAACTTGCTTTCAACAAGCCCCAGCTCCACCAAGCTACAGTGGAACCACCCTTCCCAGTAACACCTGGCAGGTCTCCTACCCCAGAATACTGGATCAAACCCCCCACTAACACTGTGTCTCCTGATCTAGGAGTTTAGTGAGGCCTCAGTTCCAGTGGCAATGGTGACAGGTCTCATTTCACAAGTAGACCAGAGCACACCTAGTTAAAATGCATACCACTGAGGCCAGGGACCAAACGTTGGTCCTAACAGACAAAGAAAGGCTTTGCAGATGACTAGCCTGAAGGATAAAGCAGCCAGGACATGTCAGCATAACACATAGCACACATTGGAGAAACTCACTAAAGCACCAGGCTCTAGGAAACACGGACACTACACTGCATGACACAGCAGAAACTCTTCCTTATAAGGCCGCTACCCTCAAGAAAAGGAGATTACCTGAATTTTTTAACACAGAGAAACAGGCATAGAGTACTTAGACAAAATGAGAAAATAGGAATTTGTCCTAAATGAAGGAACAGGACAAGGTCAAGGCCAGAGATCTAAACAAAACAGATATAAGTAACATGCCTGATGGAGAATTTAAAGTAATGATCGTAAGGATGCTCACTGGACTTGACAAAAGAGTGGAAGACACCAGTGAGACCATTAACAGAGATAAGGAATAACGTAATAGGAAGGGCTCAAGAAATGAAATGAGAAACACATTTGGAGGAGTGAACAGAAGGCTGGATGAAGCAGAGGAACAAATTAATAACCTATAAGACAGAGTAATGGAAAGTAATCAAGCTAAAAGAGATAAAGAGATAAAAAAGAATTACACTATATATATAAATACACATTTAACATATTTGTATATGTAAATGTATATCTATATAAAAGATATATATCTATATAACATAGATATTATAAGGATACATAAAAACAGATCAATTATATACACACACACACACACACACACACACACACAAAACAGATCAATAAAGCTGGTTCTTGTAAAAAAGCAACAAAATTGGCCAGACTTATTAAAAAAAAAGAAAGAGAGAGAAGGAATACAAAGAAATACAATTACAAATGAGAGAGGAGAAATAACAATAAATACCATACAAAATTATCAGAGAATATTATGAAAAACTATACGTTAACAAACTGGACAACCTAGAAGAAATGGATAAATTCCTACAAACATGCAAATTAACACATAACCTACCAAACATATAAGCTATCACAACTGAAACTGGAAACAATAACCCAAAAATCCCCAACAAACAAGTCCAGGACCAAATGGCTTCACAAGCCTTTTCTACCAAACACTAAAAAAAGAGTTAATACCTATTCTTCACAAACTATTCCAAAATCAGAAGAGAAAGGAAAACTTACAAGTTCATTCTATGAGGCCTGATATTAAAACCGTGTAAAGACACCACAAAAAAAAAGAGAACTACGAGTCAATATATCTTATGAACACAGATGCAGACACCCTCAAGAAAATACTAGCAAACTGAATCCAACAATACATTAAAAATACCATTCACCAAGACCATGTGGGATTTATTTTTGGGTTGCCAGGGTAGTTCAATTTTGCAAAACAATCAACAAGATACATCACACCAGGAGGAGAAAGAATAAGAACCTTATGATCATTTCAATAGATGGAGAAAAAGCATTTGACAGGTACAATATCCATTCTTAAAGTAGGTTTACAGGGAACATACATCAACTTAATAAAGGCATTATATGAAAAACCTACATCATCCTGAATGGAGAAAAACTAAGAAAAAAACTAAACTTCCTCCAATGTCAGGAACAAGACAAGGATGTCTACTTTCACCACTTTTATTCAACACAGACTAAAAGTCCTAGCCACAGTAATCAGACAACAAAAAGAAACAAATGGCATCCAAATCAGTATGGAAGAAGTAAAATTTTCATTATTTGCAGATGACATGATACTATATATAGAAAACCCAGGGCGCCTGGGTGGCTCAGTGGGTTTAAGCCTCTGCCTTCGGCTCAGGTCATGATCCCAGGGTCCTGGGATCAAGCCCTGTATCAGGCTCTCGGTCAGCAGGGAGCCTGCTTCCTCCTCTGTCTCTGCCTGCCTCTCTGCCGACTTGTGATCTCTGTCTGTCAAATAAATAAATAAAATCTTAAAAAAAAAAACAAACCCAAAAGACTTCACCAAAAAACTGATAGAACTGATAAACCAATGCAGTAATGATGCAGTACACAAAATCAATCTATAGAAATCTGTTGTATTTCATACACCAATAATGAAGCAGCAGAAAGAAAAATTAAGGAAACAATCCCATTTACAACTGCACCAAAAATGAGATATCTAGGAATAAACCTAAAGCAAAGAGGTCAAACGCCTGTACTCTGAAAAGTATAAAATACTGATGAAAGAAATTGAAGATGACACAAAGAAATGGAAAAACATTCCATCCTCATGGATTGGAAGAACAAACACTGTTAAAATGTCTGTAATACCCAAAGCAACCTATACTTTTAATGTAATTCTCGTCAAAATACCAACAGCATTTTTTACAGAGCTAGAACAGATAATCCTAAAATTTGTATGGAACCACAAAAGATCTCAAATAGCCAAAGCAACCCTGAAAAAGAAAAGCAAAGCTGAAGGCATCACAATTCCAGACTTCAAATTATATTACAAAGCTACAGTAATCAAAACAGACACATAGACAATAAAAGAACAGAAAATCCATAAATAAACCCACAATTACATGGTCAATGAATCTCTGACAGAGCAGGAAAGGA